GTTACAACAGTTTTATTCATAACTACCAAAACTAAGAAGCCACAAAGATTTCTATCAGTAGGTGAAACAACAAACTATGGAATATTTAAACAATGAAATATTATCCAGTCATGGCAAGAAAGGAAGGCATCTTTTATGCATATTACCAAGTGAAAAAAGCCAAAGCAACAAGGCTGCATATTTTATGTTTTCAACCAACTAGCATCCTGGAAAAGGCAAAACTTACAGAGACAGTAAAGGACCTGTGGTGGCCACGAGTGTGGAGGCAGGGAGGGGTGAAGAGGCAGAGCACAGACAACGTTCAGGACAGTGAAACTACTCTGCAGGATACTGCAATGCAAGACACGTGTTATTGCATATGTCAAACCCCATAGGATGTATAACACCAGGAATGAATCCTAATGAATCCTTGGAGTGATACCGATGTGCCAGTGTAGGTGTAAGCATCCTACCTAAGCCCATTTCTGATGGGGGATGTTGATACTGGGGAAAGATTGCTACAATGGAAATGGCAAAGTGTTCAGCGAAATTCTGTACCTTCTGTGAACCTAAAACTGCTCTAAAATATAAAGTCTAGCTTTTAAAAGAACAGAATGCTCAAGTGCTTAATACTGCTGGGTAGTTGTTGTGATAAAGATGAGGGATCCAAGCATCCCTGGTGATTCTGGCCAGAGGAATTCACTGGCCACCTCTGCTTCTATTTATAGTAAAATTGCAAAGATTTACATCTGTTTCCTTCCTCCACTTCTTTTCTGTTGTATCCACATGACTTAGGCTTTTGCTCCAGTCCCTCCACCAAAGCTCCTCTTTTCTAACTCCAACACTGTTCCTGAGGTCCTCTTAGGTGACAGCACAGCGGCAGCTCCCACCGCTCCACCACTCCTCATTCCCTCCTCCTTCGAGCAGTTTCACCACTGTTTTTCCAGAACAGCAAACTCTGGCTCACCTTCCTAACCATTCTTAAGATCCCTCTTCATCTTTTCAATCTCTAAATGTTGGTGTCTTCCAGAACTTAGTCCCTGGACCACTTTATTTCTTTAGAACCACTGCCTAAAAAGTGATCTCACCAAATAACTTTAAATATTATCTGTACACTGATGATTCCCATACGGATATCTCTACCCCCCCAATTATCTCCAAATTTCAACTAGATGTCTCATGGGCATCACAAACCTAACATAGCTAAAACATCTCTCCAAAATGTCAGTGTTCTTCATTCATCCACATCTCATCAGCCATAAATCCATCCTTCCAGCTGCTGAGGCCAAAAACACTAGAGTAATCCTTCATCAGGGATACCAACAGTAAATTCTGTCAGAGCCAGACTGCCTGGTTTCAAATTCTAGTTCAGCCAATTACTAGTTGTGTTACTTGAAAAAACTGCTTAACCTCTCTGGCTTCAGTTTTATCACCTATACAATGGAGATGACAACATTATGTATCTCCAGGGTTGAGACAATATCAATTAAATAAACTGATGTTTTTAGAGGCTTTGAGCAGTGTCCTGCCATACAGCATCTCCCACATCTGCCTAGTTCTCAGTGCTTTCACCAGTACATCCCAGTGGGAACCAGTCAGCAAGCTCAGCTGGCTGGTTATAAAAGCCTTCTACTGACTGATCTCCTTCCTTCAGCCCCTGTACCTTCAGAACACCGGCAAAACAGTAAGCACAATACTCTTGATTAAACAAAAACCACTGAGAAATTCTCTCAGCTTCTTTGTGTGTGTGAAAATTTTAATAAAACTTATGAAAAAAAAAGAGTAAAATTATGTCACCTTCTGCCCAAATCCTCCAATTGTTTATTTTTCATCCAAAGTAAGATCAAACGTCATTCTTTTAAAAGATTTATTATTTTACTTCTTTGGAAAGCTAAATTAGAGAGAGAGAGAATCTTGACCTGCTGGTTCACTCCCCAAATGGGCACAAGAGCCAGTCTGGGCCAGTCTGAAGCCAGAGTCAGGCACTTCACTGAATGTGGGTGCAGGGCAGTAAGGACTCGGATCATCCTCCACTACTATCCCAGGGGCATGAGCAGCAAGCCAGTGGGTCTGGAGCCAGCGCTCATTGGGGATGCAGCTATCACAGGCAGTGGGTAATCCATTGCGCCACAACACCAGCCTCATTATCTAAAGTGATTTTACACAGACTGCGGCTGAAATTTAAGTTCCCTCTTACCTCTCTGACCACACTTCTCTTATGCCCATGATTCCTTCCCCTGCACCCATGTGGGAGACCCGGAAGAAGTTCCTGGATCCTGGCTTTGGATTGGCGCAGTACCGGCCATTGCGCTCACTTGGGGAGTGAATCATCGGACGGAAGATCTTCCTCTCTGTCTCTCCTCCTTTCTGTATATCTGACTTTCCAATAAATAAATAAATCTTAAAAAAAGAAAAAACATAAGAACACTGGGCAATCAAGTCACTTTCCCCTGAATGTGTCTATACTTGTGGATCCTTTTGCTGGGACTCCACAGAATGCAAAGCTCACTCTTACCTTCCTTGTTCTTCCTTGCTGAAATGTCACCTTCTCAAGGAAGGGGCTCTGTACCCATTCCTTTCCAAATCACCTGCCAACCACTATCGTAAACTTTATTTTTTTTTTTTATTTTTTCACACAGCATTTATCATTATTCAATATACGAGTAAGTCACAAATTCTAAGAACACTGAAATCCAGTCCAAATTCTACCTATTCATTCTAAAATGCAATTGTTGTGGGCCTGACATGGTAGCCTAGTGGCTAAAGTCCTTGCCTTGAACACACTGGGATCCCATATGGGCTCTAGTACTAATTCCAGTGGCCCTCCTTCCCATTCAGCTCCCTGCTTGTGGCTTGGGAAAGCAGTCAAGGACTGCCCAAAGTCTTGAGAGCTTGCACTCATGTGGGAGTCCTGGAAGAAGATCCTGGCTCCTGGCTTCGGATTGGCTCAGCTCTAGCCATTACAGCTGCTTAGGGAGTGAATCATTGGACTTAAGATCTTCCTCTCTGTCTCTCCTCCTCTCTGTATATCTGACTTTCCAATAAAAATAAAATAAATTAAAAAAAAAAAAGTCATGCTTACACTTTGTAGAACCTAAGTTTTCCCTTAAAATGAAAAAGGAGCTGTGTTGTATGTGTGCCTTTCAGTAAGAGATTATATGTGCATATAAACAGTGATCAATATTACAAATTCCTGTTTTCTGCTATCTATTTTTTTCTTTCATATATATTTTTTTAATTTTGAATTTTATGGTACAATTATGTGGGGGTCTGAGATTCTCCCCCCCCCCAAATTCCCACCTCCTGGGTATGTGGTAGGGTTTTTTAACCCTACATTTTTTAACCTTACTGCTCTCTCACTTAAGAAATATTTTTGAGGGCCTGGCAGCGTGGCCTAGCGGCTAAAGTCCTTGCCTTGAACGTGCCAGGATCCCATATAGGCGCCGGTTCTAATCCTGGCAGCCCCACTTCCCATCCAGCTCCCTGCTTGTGGCCTGGGAAAGCAGTTGAGGATGGCCCAAAGCCTTGGGACCCTGCACCCATGTGGGAGACCTGGAAGAAGTTCCTGGATCCTGGCTTTGGATTGGCATAGTACCAGCCATTGCGCTCACTTGGGGAGTGGATCATCGGACGGAAGATCTTCCTCTCTGTCTCTCCTCCTCTCTGTATATCTGACTTTGTAATTAAAGAAATCTTTAAAAAATATATATTTTTGCTCTTTCTGCCGCCATCTTGGTTCCGCGTTCCCCTCACAAAATGCCCGGTGAAGCCACAGAAACGGTCCCTGCTACTGAGCAGGAGTTGCCACAGCCCCAGGCTGAGACAGGGTCTGGAACAGAATCGGACAGCGATGAGTCCGTGCCAGAGCTTGAGGAACAGGATTCCACACAGGCAATCACACAGCAGGCCCAGCTGGCTGCAGCAGCTGAAATCGATGAAGAACCTGTCAGTAAGGCTAAACAGAGTCGGAGTGAAAAGAAGGCACGGAAGGCCATGTCCAAGCTGGGCCTGCGGCAGGTTACAGGGGTCACCAGAGTTACTATCCGGAAATCTAAGAATATCCTCTTTGTCATCACAAAACCCGACGTCTACAAGAGCCCAGCCTCAGACACCTACATCGTTTTTGGGGAAGCCAAGATTGAAGACTTATCTCAGCAAGCACAACTAGCAGCAGCTGAGAAATTCAAAGTTCAAGGTGAAGCTGTCTCCAACATTCAGGAAAACACACAGACTCCAACTGTACAGGAGGAGAGTGAAGAGGAAGAGGTTGATGAAACAGGTGTGGAAGTTAAGGATATAGAGTTGGTCATGTCACAAGCAAATGTGTCCAGAGCAAAGGCAGTCCGAGCCCTGAAGATCAACAGCAATGATATTGTAAATGCTATTATGGAATTAACAATGTAACCGTCTGAAAAACAAGGACCTTTTTTTTTTTTTTTTTTTTGGTGTTTCAAAGAGTAATGCAGCTTGGTTTGAAATTTGTACTGTTTCTATCATTAATAAAGTTATGCCTTCTTGTTGGAAAAAAAATACATATATATATTTTTGAGTTTGGATGATAAACAGTATAGAAGTAAAAAATGAAGTAGTAACTTCCAATATAAAACCCATTTTATCCTTGGAACAACATCATAGCTGATTCAGAGTGAATGGAAATACTATTCTGGAAAGAAGACAGAGACAGGACAGCAATACAACAGAAGTACTCACCGCATTGCCACCTGACTCCTTACATACATTCTTTAATTTAATCCATATGGTAACAGCCTTCACAAACATTTAGCTAATTTATAGACAAGGAAACTCTACGGCTCAGATAGATGCGGGAATGTGCAGAGCCTAAATTCAAACCCAGGCGGGGCCAAAGTCTACGTCATCACTTTCAGGAGGTGCTAAGTCAGCAAACTGGTATTACGGCTGCTAATGCGCCGTTTATACTTCATTACTAAATTCCCGGGATATTTTTACATGTTTAACTTTCCACGAACCCAGTCCCAGCTGTGTACTGACAATCGCCCTACCTGTGGACATAAAAAATGGGATGCGGAACTTCCCACTCAGCACCCGGGCCCGCAGGTTCTGCAATGTGCTCCCATCAAACGGCAGGGCACCACACACCAGCACATAGAGGACAACTCCAAGGCTCTGTATCCCAAATAGAGAGTAAGAACAATTAATCACACCAGAAGAGGCCACTACGACAGACACATAAAGGTGATTCTTACACGTGGGGACAGAATAAATGGTTTCATTTTGTTTTTTGAGAAATAATATGTGGCACTGTCAAGGCCAATCACTTTTAGAATAGTTAACAAGGGTAACATACCAAATTAACTGGGGATAACATACCAAATTTCTTTCAGTACTCATCCTACATGGGAAAAGCAAATGGAAACAACAAAAAGAGTTTTTGGTCCTTGTCAAGCACACTCAGCCAGACTGGCCTTGGGGATTCTTGTGAAAATGCAAGAGGGGAGTTGGAAACCCATGGCTCAGCCTGTAAGGTAAGTGCTTAAAAAAGACTTTGTTTAAATTACTGGGAACTGGAAGAAGAGATGATCATGATCTCAATTCACAGGCAGCATCAGGTGCCTTCAAGGATGAGGGCAGTGTTATCAGCCAAGGATAACTAATGCTTTGGAACATCAGCGAAAGCAGTTACTTACCCAGATGTCCACTTTGGGTCCATCATATTCCTTTCCTTCAAAGAGTTCAGGTGCGGCATACGGGGGGCTGCCACACCAGGTCTTCAATAGCTGCCCAGGAGTGAAGAGATTACTGAAGCCAAAATCTAGAAAGGTAAATTGAAAACAATTCATTTTATCATCATGCCAATTCTGGTTTCCAGCTCCTAGAGCAAAGGATTCAAACCATAAAGTTTAAATTTCAAATTAAAAAAAAAAAAAAAGATTGTTTAGAAGTGGTTGACCTCTCACCTTGAAAAAATAATTAAAATGATACAGATGAATTGGTATGCAAAAGACGCCGGTTTCATTAACTGTAAACATGATTGGCTTATATCAGCAAAAATAGTATGATTCTCTTCTTAAACCACGGCTGACTAGGATGTGTGATATTTAAAGCTTTTAAGAACAAAAATGGGGCCCAGCATGACGGTCTAGTGGCTAAATCACTGCCTTGCACAGGCTTGGGAGCCCATAGGGGTGCCAGCTTGTGTCCCGGCTGTTCCACTTCCCAACCAGCTCCATGTTTGTGTCCTAGCAAAGCATTAGCGGACGGCCCAGTGCCTTGGGACTCTGCACCCCCAACCCCCAACCCCTGAAGACTCGGAAGAAGCTCCAGGCTCCTGGTTTCAGATTGGCTCAGCTCTGGATGTTGCGGCTACTCACGGAGTGAACCAGTGGATGTAGAATTTTTCTCTCTGTAAATCTGACTTTCCAACAAAAAATTAATCTTAAAAAAAAAATTAACTGAATGGTTGCTACTAAGACCACATCATAATCAGAAAGTACACCTAAGTATATTCAGGTAGATGTAGAATTTTCATATTATTTTTACTTTTTATATTTAAGACCACTCAAAAGTCAGACAAAGTGACAGTATTGTTAGGACAGCCGATTCAAAAAACTTTAATTAGGAATGATTGCATTTTAACTCCAACCTTTTACACTTAACTCCTTTTCCTTTTTCTCTTGTCTTATGTTTTGTTTTTTTATCTTCCTTCCACACCTCACATTCGAAGAGGAATTGGTAGGAGGGGGTGAGTCTTAAGGAAGAATATTAAGAAAATGAACAAGGATGGCAGGTCAAAGGATGGAGAGTAACTGACAGATAAATGCTGTTATTTATGAACCACACTCCCTACAACTACAGCATTCCAAAATGCTAAATCCTACCTACCCTTTGGAATCCTTTCCTCCTTTTTCTAGTTTTATTCTGCCTCTGACAATCCTGTCTCCTTTGCCATTTCTTTCCTTCCACCTTTTCCAGAAGGACTTTTTATGATTTTAACTACCCTCCTTGGTCTGTATCTTCTCAGGGCTCACTTGTTTGGAAATAATTAACCAAGTCTGTGTGTCTGGTCTTAGTACTGCCTGAAGTTTCTGGCATGAATGTTTAATACGTGCTTGGAAATACACACCTCGAACCTATTTTCCAAGCACAAATCTCCTTTTCCAGTGATGTTCCTTCCCATTCTCATCAACAGTATTACAATCTCTGTTACCAGGACCACTGCAGTTAACTTTCTTTTAATTCCTTTCTTCCTACCATTTCCCGTGTCAAGCTGATAAAACAAACTCTAACTGCTTGTACCCCTAGCAAGTGTGCCTTGAATCCATCTCCTTTCTTTTCCAATCCTACCATCTCAGCTCAATCTTTCTTACTGATGGGCTAGACCAATGCCATGATTACTCCCTATGCCTATTTCATTTCCCTCTAAGCCATCACAGCATAGTGAATGTTACACAATTCCGATCCTATTACCTCCTTGCTTAAAAACATTTGGCGGCTCCTTTCTGCTTACAGAATAATCTTAACCTCTTACACTGTTATTTAAGGTTCTTTACAACCCAGCTCCACCCAACCGTCCTAACTTATCCCGGCCATGATAGCATTACACCATTCATATCCTGTGTTTACATGCCTTTCTTTGTAATTTCCTCCCTGTGCCATGTCTTTTCCTTTCTTGTCCATTTTTAAAACATCACCCATTTTCAAGGCTCGGTCAAATATTACTTCCTGTATGAAGCCTTAACGAACAGAAAATACCTTGTCAACAGTTTCCTCCTCTGTGTCCATAGTGCGTTGTTTATAACTCTACATCCCAATGATCACTCTTCCTTATATTACACCTGCTGCATTATGTGTGTGTACTTCCAGTGAATGGAAGGAGCACAGTTTGATATAATCTTGGTTTCCACACAGTGTTTTTAATACATAGCAGTGACTTGCGAAAAGGTCATTACACTAAACTGCAATAAAATCACTAGGCCAGTCCTCATCACCTCTTGTCTACTAGAGCCTTCTCCTACTGGCAATGGCAGCTGGCCAGCTACTACTAGAGCCTCCGCCTCCCAACCATTCCGCCTAAGAATCTAAAATTAACTTACTGATCACAGAGAGCCTGGAGGTCAGGGCCACAATTAGAATCATTAGAGCTCCAAGAAACCAAGTACTCTCATTCATCAAATGAAACGAATGCTGCTTCTGTGAAGCCTTCCTGGATCTCCTGTAATAAATATCCCCTAATTTCTGCGCACTCTCCATTACTTCGTGTAATATATATGTGTATGTGGTGGCTCCGTTGCGCAATGGATAGCGTATTGGACTTCTAATATATGTGTGTATGTATATTATATGTATATATATACATAAAAGTATACATGTGTATATTTATTAAGTACCTACTGAATATATACATATATGTGACTATATGTGTATACATATACACACATGTATATATGCATATATGTAAATGGTAGTACAGTAGGCACTTAATAAATACTGGCTATGAATTAAACTGGATTTAAAACTCTATCAAGTGACCAACACTACCCAAAACACTATAATTTACCTCTAAGTCTGTATACACATGTAACACTGTTTTAGGGGTTTTTTCCTAAAAGTATAAGAATGGGCTGACAAAACTCTAAATAAATAAGACTCAGCAAAGCAGATGTCTTGGGGAACATGTGGAAAGATTTAATTATTTTTCATTAATCTGCAAAGACTTTCACTGAGTCATTTTCTATAACTGGACTTCCTCTTCTTCCACAAGGCAGATGGAAAATGCAGAGGATTCTGTTCTACCTGACAGATTTTGACACTGGTGTGTCTGAACAGCCAAGTCCAAAAGAATGAACTGTGGTGCTTCTTTGTGTCTTGAAGAAGAACATAGTAAGATAAGGAATGGTTAAAATTATCTTTTTTTTTTTTTTAAGATTTGAAAAGTCAGATATACAGAAAGGAGGAGAGACACAGAGGAAGATCTTCCCTTCGATCGTTCATTCCCCAAGTGCTCCAACAGCCAGAGCTGAACCAATCTGAAGCCAGGAGCCAGGAGCCTCTTCCAGATCTCCCATGTGGGTGCAACATCCCAAGGCTTTGGACTGTCCTTGACTGCTTTCCCAGGCCACAAGCATGGAGCTAGATGGGAAGTGGGGCCACCAGGATTAGAAACGCACCCATATGAGATTCTGGCACTTTCAAGGTGAGGACATTAGCTGCTAGGCTACTGTGTCGGGTTCCAAACCCTCTGATTTAAAATTTTCCCAACAGTACTTCAAAGTCTGCAGGCAACTGCTCATTTTGAACTCTGAATGCTATGCCTATGAGCAGTAACCTTTCCATTTTAGCAAGAAGGAGAAGGCACAAACTTAACAGCATGTGCCTGTTCACCCATCTACCTAAGAGGAAAGCTTCACAAAGAACACCAGAGCAAACTAGGTTCAGCAGCAGAGGCAGGCTGACTACTGTTAGGTTTTATATGAGAAATGAGCCTGTGTTAATCAACAATTTCACAGCTGGAGGTACACTCTGGGGAAGCAGCTGCTTCTACTGGGTATTGCAGTCAAATATCTGACTTCAAGAATTAGGCCCAATGGCCAAAATCAAAATCTCATAAATATTCCACAACAAATTGTCCTGGCTTACTCTTTTTTTATGTATTATTAAGATTTATTTTATTGTATTATAAAATCAGATATACAGAGAGAGGAGAGACAGAGAGGAAGATCTTCTGTCCAATGATTTACTCCCCAAGTGACTGCAATGGCCGGAGCTGAGCCATTCTGAAGCCAGGAACTTCTTCCGGGTCTCCCACAAGGGTGTAGGGTTCCAAGGTCCTGGGCCAGCCTTGACTGCTTTCTCAGGCTACAAGCAAGGAGCTGGATGGGAAGTGGGGCTGTTGGGATTAGAACTGGCAAACATATGGGATCCTGGCTTGTGCAAGGCAAGGACTGTAGACATTAGGTTAGTGTGCTGGGCCCCAGGCTTAGTTTTTAAAAAAGATTTATTTCCCTTTTCAAAAGGCAAAGTGACAGAGAGGAAGGAAGAGACGAGAAACAGATTCCATCTACTTGTTCCCTTCTTTGATGGGTATGACAGCCAGGGCTCGGTTAGGTGGAAGCCAGGAACCAGAAACTGTCTGGGTCTCCCTCCCACATGGGGGGCAAAGAGATGTGCCAAAGAGCCAGACTGGGAAGCAGAGCAGCACGGACTCAAACTGGTACTCTGACATGGAACGCTGGCGTCACAAGCATCAGTTGAACTGGCACACTGGCACACAAGCGCGCCAGCTGAACTCACTGTGCCACAATACCAGTTCCCCAATTGTTTCTACACTGAGCTTAACATGATCTGGGTCAGGCTCAGTTTCCATATACATATTATGAACTGAAAGTTTCACTGAAAGTGTATTACTGCTGTTTTGCCTTCCCTACTAGTGGCTCTTTAACAGTATTTCACATTTTCAATACTGCTCTACAATCTTGTAAGATAAAATTCTGGTCAGGTCACTGTCCATTTAGCTTAAAAAATTTACATCCCTGCAGAGAAACCCAAATTACTAACAATCTCTTTCAATCAAACTTCAGAGACTGGATAACTGGGATGGGGGAATATCTCCTCTTTATTCTTTTAGTTGTTTGAATTTTGCTACACATTGTAAGAGAAGTGGAAGGAAAACCTAGAATGAATAGAAACACAAAATACTCTATTTGGGGCTTGTTGGAAGTTTTGGGAGGCACTAGGGCAATGCTGGGATATGTGGTAGTAAGGGCAGGGTGCATGGGGAACAGGCAGATATGGAATAGCATACTAAGATTTTGG